AATTTAAAATAATAAATATTTCAAGTATAAAGAATAAAAAAATAATACTTTTTCTAAAAGAAAAGTGTGAAGAAAAAAAAACTAAGAAAATATTAAAAAATAATAAAGAAAAAATAATAATAGTAGTAAATGAACCAAATATAAAGTAATAAATATACTATATTATTGATTTGTAAGAATATATGAGTCTATGCTAAGAAAATTTCACAATGCACAGAGTGATTGGTCATGTCCTATTAGAAAATAAAATCACCGACACATAACAAGTGATAATAATATTTTTATCCTATCCATCGTTTTCTTTTAAATGGATCTTATAGTGTAATTAATAGCATGCTACATGTTATTCTTTCAATACCGTAAAACTTCTTGAAAACCCACCCCAGTTCCCTTTAATACTTTTCAAATATCTATATATTTTTTATTTTAAAACAAAAACATTTAGATTTGGTGCTGAGAAAAACAAAATAGAAAGGGGTGTTTTTTCTTCTTCTTTTTTTTCACAAAAATGAATATTTAGAAAGAGATCATGCTATATTGTATTTGATCTATAAAGGGAGTTGTTGGTACGATTTGATGAAAATATATTAAATTAAAATTTAATTTCTAAATATAAGTGAGATCAATTCTTGTAAAAATAATAATTAAAATACCATTTAACTTGTATACCACCGCATGTATTTTCAGCAGTTGAATGGATTAACTTCTATTTATTTTTGTATTTTTGTGGTATTTTTTAAAAAATTATAATTTATTATTTTAAATTAATATTTTTTTTATTTTCAGATCATTTTAATATATTAGTGTTAAAAATAATTTTTTATTTTAAAAATTTTAAATAAAAAATAATTTAAAAAATAATTATTATTACATTCTAAAACATCCCTTTAAATCGATGAGAGGCCATTCCTTTAGTTTTTTTTTTTTTTCCATGTTCGAAAATCAAACAAGGGCTTTCATTGAAAACAATCAGCAACGAATATTTTATCAGAAAATCTCATTCAACGTTTTCTTCCCGGAAGCTTCTCTTGATGTGAAATAAAGCTGTGATGGTAGCATACACGTTGGGGGGGAGTGGATATTTGTAAAGTACATGGCCCTTTCCAGTCTGGATAACTTGAAAGCAAAGACTACTCGACTAGCATGGAAGATGATTTGTAACTAGCCCAAAAAAAAAATCTCTCGAGGGAGAGGAGTGAGAGAGGGAAAGACTAGGACCCAGGAAATCGATGAGAGAACAACTGATAGAGGTTGAGTGCCAAGTTTCGTTTTGTTCGGCTTGTTTGATCAATTTAATTAGGTATAAGATTCTATATATAACATCAGCAATGACGTGTGATATTAATGACTGAATTTGTTACACATTAATTAGTGCAGAAGGTTGGATTGTTGTGTAATCAAAGAACTTCGTAGCGTTAAAATAAAAGCATAAGAATTGGCTATGAAAAATCTCGGAAAAAGACACGCATAGAACGTCTAGCAGGACGGGCACGATAGGCTATTGTGGATGCTTCCGCAACTGGCGAAGACGAAGAAACAAGAAAATTAAAAGCCACCCATGGATAGTTGATACTTTTTCGCAAGCCTCCGATAATGGTCAAGCTTTGTAGCCGAAGCTACCTCCCTCTAATTCTCCGACCTTGGCGTCACATGACTCGTATGAATGTATTAATTATTTGAAGTTTTTTTTCCTCGAGTGATCATGCTAGCCAGATTTTTCAAACCAAATTGCATGTGTGAAGAGAGTTTTAAAATTTAAATTTCACGTGTTTCATACTCAAAATATTTGAAAAACTAGAAGTCTTGGAAGAGATTCAGAAAGACTTGTAAGCAAAATTTAAATGCTAGAAAATCATTTCTAGGCACACAAAATGAGTGTACAGATTAACCTAAGATTTATGATGCTTTTATAGATGAGGTTAAATATTTATATCTAATTTTTTAAGAAATCAGTGACAACTAAAATTTAATATCTCGAACTAGATGAGTTCTTCTTCTCGTCTTCCGAACCAATTCCTTGAAGGTACTCGTACGTTTGATGAACGATCAAACACTCGTTAAAAAAAAAATAGAGAGAGAGGGAGACAGAGGGAAAACTAAAAAAAAATAATCATAAATAGGATATAACAATGTCTACGTTTTTACTGGGCTTCGGGGAGCATCGGGCTCCGTTTGAACAAGCCCGTAAATATTTGGTGCTCTGCTAATAGAAAGGTGGGCTAAAACGGGCCCATTAAAGAATGGTTGCTCTGCAAATGAAAAGGTGGGCTGCAGGTTCCCCTGATCACAAAGCCGAAGATCTGGGCGTTTCGTGATCTGATGGCCGGGGGGGAACTTCTCGTTGAACTTGAAATTTTAACACTCTCCTGGTTTGATCCAGCGAGGTAGGAGGGTTCTTGGACGGATGTACTCGCATGAGCATTTGTGATCAAGCAAAGAACACGCGCAGCCTAACGGGTCAGTGTAATTATGTTTATTATTTCAAATATTTTTTGTTTAATAATATACTAAAATAATATCTTTTATTTTTTAAAAAATTAGTTTTAATATCAATACATTAAAATATCTAAAAAGTAAACTTTTTTAAAAATATTTTTAAAATACAAAAGAGCTATATATATTTGCAATTCTTCTTGAATAATCTCACCCATGCTCAAATACGAAAGGCTAATTAGATCATAGAGATTTGGAATGGGGTTAACTATTGAATAATTGAAAATCAAATAGCGACGTGATGAACACCTGTCTACTGATACCTCATATACCCGTGTCGCAGCAAATTATTTTTCTCTTCTACGTTAAAGCATCTTTGAAAATTAATTTGATTTTCTTGGAGCAGGTTTGCTTCCTATGCCATGCTTTTATGTACCGTTCAAATCCCAAAAAAAAAAAATATTTATTAAGAATGTTCTGGTTAGAGTGTTGATGAGCTACCACACTCTCAATTACGAGAGAAACTACCTTTATCTTGGACTTTATCATGTACAGTGACTATAGTATGTGAAGAATGTTATATATGTAAAATGAAAAAAAATAAAATGATGGACCACGTTTCACATTTACCGGTTGCGAGGATTGTGATTGTAGATGAGATACGGAGAACATGAAGTTGATGCGTACTTCTTTTACTTTCTGAGTGCATGAATTCAAAGATGTGATTGTTGTTATAATAGTTTTTATGATTATGTTTTAAAAAATTATCTGATAAAAGATATTTTTGATTGAGGTTGATTTGATATTTATATATATATATATTTATTTTTAAATTATGATTAAAATTAAGATTAAATATATATTTAAATTATGATTAAAATTAAGATTAAATTAAGGTTATAAAATAACACACATTACACAAACATGTATATTGATGATTTTTAATTTAAATATTGTAGATTTAACTATCACTGTTATATCATCAAATAAATAATATTTTATCAAATATTTTTTATTGTTCTACTAATTTATCTTCAATTTCACCACATATAAAATTTATCCGATCAGAACTATAATTTTCATAGTTTTTTGAACATACAACAAAATAAAGTAAAATATCATTATAAATAAAATTAAAATTGCGATTAAATTCTGTGAATGCTAATATTATTATGTAATCTTTTTTTAATTTATGTAATGTTATTAAATAACATTAAACACTAATTTATTTAGTAAAACACAATTTAAAAAAAATTAATTTTTTAATCGAGTTAGACATGATTAAATAAATAATAACCTCACTATTCACTTACAAAGGTGAATTAATTCACTCCAGAAATCAGTGCAGAGTGAAATTAATTTACCTTGCACTTATGGAGATGGTGGAACGTTGGCAATAATAAACATGAAAAACAACAGCTTTTTACTCCTGCAGCACCAGTGGTGTAAACTCAATTTGTAGTAAAATTTATCTTTAAATACGTGTTTAAATTTTTTATTAAATGATTGTAAATTGTGGTTGGAATAAAATATAATTACAATCACAATACCAAATATAAATTAATTTAAAAACCATGTTTAAAAAAGGTAATAGAAATTGAAGTTGAAGTCAGGTATACTCTAATAGTATACACAAATCTTGCCCGTAAAAGATAGTTCTTGTTTTTTCTTCATTTTATTTTTTATTTCATATACATACATTACCCTTAATTTTATTACCGTTTTAATCAAGTATATATTTTTTATTTTTAAATATATTTTTGATATTGTGATGAATACCATTATAATATTAAACACACTTGAAATACATAATATTATCTTAAATAATTAAATAAAGTACAAAACTGCTTGACAAGAAATCTTATAAGAGTTTATCCAGAGATCTTTTGGTGTCGCGACAAATTTTGTTGTCTCTCCAATTATATAGAAAAAACTATTTGGTAGGTTAAGTTTTGTTTTTGACAACAATTTACATATAATTACATTTTAAATACTGAACTTCTAAAAATTAAATAATTTATTTTTTACTAACAAAATATACCTTTTATTTATTTTGTATATAAAATTCTATTTCAAAATATTATTAAAAAAAAATATTTTTTAAAATCACAATTTTTTTTTTATTTTTTTTAACCATAAGCTAACAAATGCCAAACACAAAGTAATACCTAAGTTCGAATCTCACCATGCACGTCTATTATTTTTGGATACCTTATTTACTCATTGAGCTTACAGGATGTTCAATGGACTATGAAGATTAGTTGTGGTGCGTATAAGCTGGCCCGAATACTCCACATAAATTAAAAAAAGTAAGGTTTTTCGTAACGACAACACATCCTCGAAAGTCCAAAACTCCGAAAAGTTCAAATCCTAAACACCACTCTATACCCTGAACACAAGCTGCTTCCTTATGCTCCATCCTTACTTGCCACTTGGCAAATCTTCGCCTGTCCGATCTAATCATACCACCACGTGTCGCCCCGGATCGTTCCCAGCTCCTCACCGAAAAATGTAGAAAAGAAAGAAAATCCACACGACAACAAACTGCCAGAAATACCCTCATATATTCTTAACTTGTTTGATCGAGCCTGCCACATCCAACATCGCTCTTTTGGGCACAGTAGCAGAGCGCGCGCGCGCGCGCGCGCACACACACACACATCTGTATATATATAAAACCCTTGCGGATCGGAGAGTAGAAACTCGAAGTCGAGAGTGGAGATCGCGAATAAGGAAAAGAAAGAAGGATGAAGATCTTAGTTAAGACCCTGAAAGGCAGTACTTTTGACATCGAAGTTAGACCTGAAGACACGGTTCGCATTTTTTTTTTGCTATTCCAATTCAATACGCTAGGGTTTTTAATTGCGTCTGTCTTTCGGCATATGTCCTGTAATCGAATTGCCTAATTGTAGAATTGAATTAAGATTCAAGATTTTGATTTTTCTTTATTTTAATTATGATTTTGTGTATCAGATGTTAGTTTAAATTTAAGCTGCTGTTTGAGCTAGTGTTTTTGGTAGTGACTTTGGGAATTACGTGGACTGATGCCTCCATTGTGTGAATTTAGGTTTTCTTTCCATAGTTCATGTCGGAATTATATGATCTACGTTGTTTTAGTTTCTCCTAAAAAATAACTGATTGAACGCTTCTTTTTAGAGTTAGAACGGGGTATGAATCAATTGTATGAAGTGGTTCTATTTACTGAATCACTGATAACATTATAATTTGATTTTCCCCCCCTGTTTTTTCGGTTTTTTTCCTACTATTTGGTTTGTCATATGTATTACTGTTGTGTTCAGGTTGCTGATGTCAAAAAGAATATAGAAACAGCTCAAGGGGTAGCCGTTTATCCTGCCGAGCAGCAAATGCTTATTCACCAGGCCAAAGTTCTTAAAGATAACACCACTTTGGATGAAAATAAAATTGTTGAAAATAGTTTTGTTGTTATCATGTTATCGAAGGGGAGATTTGTTTCTCTTGTGCTCTCTTTTGAATCCTGTTCCCTCCACATTTAATCTGAACTTGCTAGACATGCACACACAACGCCAGCAAATTACTTACCATGTTCTTACTTGTAGATTGATTTTTAGCTTGGAGAATAGCCATGTATCTTGTTATGATGTACTCCTGCGTAGAACTATTTATTCCATGCGTGCATTGTCCATGCTTTATATTGTAGTGAGTGGTTTAGAGTTATGTGTTTGCTTTGTATGTGTCAAAACTATTTATTTTAATGCTTTCCTTTTGCTACATTCTCCAAATATCATTGATGTGTTGTATTGTGATGTTTATATTTTCAGGTTTATTACTTGGTTTTGTTCTAATTGTTTGCTTTAAAAATATTAGACTAAGAGCTCATCCGGTGATGGTTCAACTGCACCAACTGCCCCTACCACTAAGGTAATAACATTGCAGTTGTTGTTTGTGATGCTTTTGCAACTTGCACCAAACAGCTAGTATGAGGGCTTAAATAGCACAATCGCTGCTGTGAAAAGCCCTTGTCAATTCACATATAAAGTTCTTGCTACAGGCACACTGGTCATACTATTTTATTGGTCTCAATTAGAAATATTTGTTAGTAAAAGGCTCCCTTCTACCACTCTATTCACTGTCTTGAATTAAACTGGTGCTTATGCAGGCACCTACAACAAGTACCATGGCATCAACAACAGGACCTCAAGCTCCCACATTGACATCTGCACCGTGAGTCTAAGGGCTCGACGCCATTGCTGTCTGCAAAGTTGTTGCTTGTCTAAGATATCAATGTTTTTGCATTCTGTTGTCTGCTCATTTTTACATGTTCTTACTTAACAGGCCAGCATCAGCTCCTGCTCCTGCTCCAGTTTCTTCAGTTGCTCCTGCGTACGTATTCTATTCCATCTTTAGTTAGTGGTTTGTCTTGTTTGAACCATGCAACATGCCTGCAATCCTTTTGTTCTCCTTTGGGACCACTCCCTCCCATTTTATCTCCTCAACACAGTTTCCTTCTTCTTTTTTCTTTTGAAAGTTTGGAATTATTTGTTGAATCAGGTCAGACTATGTTTATGACCAAGCAGCATCTAGTCTGGTTGCGGGAAATAACTTGGAGGTAGCAGTCCAGCAAATTCTTGACATGGGTGGAGGGACTTGGGATAGAGATACTGTTGTTCGTGCTCTTCGGGCTGCTTACAATAATCCAGAGAGAGCCATTGAATATTTATATTCTGTAAGTTGTCTATTTATGAGATTCTTTAAAAAAAAAAATTACCGAGGAGGGATAGTGGACTTATTATTTTGCTATAGGAGAATATATTGAACCATTGCTGGCTAATCATTCTTGAAAGTGCTTGGTGGGTTTTGCTTGTGCTACAAGAAGATTCAGGAGTGGACCTAATATTGCCCTGAAGAATAGTTTGGTGCATGTTCATGTGATATTTATTTTACCAAAGGATATAACTAAAGAACTACACATGTAGATTATGTAAGTTAATTGCATGTATTCTTGCCAATGAAGAACTTTATGTGTGATGTATTTGATGCTGCTTTCTAGATGTAGTTATATGAATTGCGACGTGTTCTATTGCATAATATCTTAGAAGAAAGGAGCTGCTTGGACTTGCATGACTTCAACTGTTCTTTGGAATAATTTTGAATTTTCAGGAAGTGATTGAGCAGCAGTTGTTAATAAGAACAATTATTTGTTGTTGATTTCTTTCTGAAATTCCTGTTGATCAACCTTTTTCTGTCCAGTGTCTTCATTGCTTTTGCTCCAAGCCAAGGAGGGTCTCTTAAGTATGCCATTTATGTGTTCTTTTTAAACATTCTGCATGTTTGGAGTGCTCCCTTATCTTTGTGTGTGTAATTTTCATGTTGTTGTTCCCAACTTTGGTAATTGCAAATAACAGGGTATCCCAGAACAAGCAGAAGCTCCACCAGTGGCTCAAATCCCTATAGGCAGGCAAGCTCCTGCAGCCCAGCCTCAGCAGCATCCAACACAAACTGCTGCAGTTCCTTCTGGTGGGCCAAATGCAAATCCTTTAGATCTTTTCCCACAGGTAGTTGTTATGTAACCAATTACTGGTCAATTATGTGAGATTTTCTTAGTGTTTTGACTCTAAAAGTGATATTTTTTCCCGCTCATAGGGCCTTCCCATCGTGGGTTCAGGTGCTGGTGGAGCAGGAACTCTTGATTTTTTGCGGAACAGTCAACAGGTCTCTCTCTCTCTCTCTCTCCTCTCTGTCTGTTTCTTACTGATGCCTTTGGACTGATGCATAACCAATGATAATGAAATCTTATCCTGTGATTATTGCTAGTTCCAAGCCTTGCGAGCTATGGTGCAGGCTAACCCCCAGATACTGCAGGTTCTTTTCTTACCTCTTGTTATTTAATTTTCCCTCTTAATAGGTTGTGTTAATTCCTTCTGTTTGTCAGCCTATGCTTCAAGAGCTGGGAAAACAAAATCCTCACTTAATGAGGTTTATTCAAGAGCACCAAGATGATTTTCTCCGCTTGATCAATGAACCTGTTGAAAGTGGAGAGGGGTAAGATTATTATTTTTGTTCTTTCCATACTAGTTATGCTATTTTGATTTGCTAACTTTTTTTCATATGCCTATAGGAATGTGTTGGGGCAGCTTGCTGCAGCAATGCCACAAGCTGTAACAGTCACTCCTGAGGAGCGCGAGGCAATAGAACGTGTAAGTTCTGCATCATTTTTACTGTAACTTTAATCTTGTGAACCATGCTTTTTAAGATTTTAGTGACTTTACCTTTAAACTGTTTTTTTTTTTTTTTTTTTAATTTTCATTAATGTATCTCTAGTTTTTAAAGTTAGGTGGATGTTTTTGTCTGAATGGTTAATAACTTTTTTTGACATCGTTACCCTTTCAGCTTGAAGCTATGGGTTTTGATCGTGCACTTGTATTGGAGGTATTCTTTGCCTGCAACAAGAATGAGGAGCTGGCTGCCAACTACCTCTTAGATCACATGCATGAGTTTTGAGGATTGATTTTGGTGGAAGTGTAGTCAATCCTTATGTCCTCTGGAAAATGTTTCTTTTTATTTACTCTTTTAACCCTTTTATATACCCCCCCAACTTTATTTTTGATATCAAGTTTGGAGCTCTATGATGTGAAGTTTCTGGACAGGAACAAGATGTAACATTCCTACCCCGCTCTCTCCTTGGTTAGGGTTCTTACATCTATGTACATGGTTGTCTTGGTAAATTTGATTTTTCTACGTAAATTTCGGTTCTCTCTGGACTCTGATGCCATCTAACAAATTCACTGAGAATTCTCCGAACAGTGGGCCTAAGCAGTCCTAGGACACTGCTTCCTAACGTCTATTTTGTTCTGCATGTTCAGTATTTTGTGGTGCTTGAACAGTGATGGTGTTTTCTGTTATTTGTGTTCTCCTCCCTGGGAAGCTGATGAGGGATGGTCGTGGCTAGGAAATATATTCTGCATCAAGGATGAAAAAGCACTGTTCAACCGGTATGTTATGCTCAAGGTACCTGTAGAAAGGCTGCTACTTCCGGCCATTGACAGTGTCAAAGCACCTATCTGAGAGGTATTTTTGTGACCGCCAGGGCGAGGTATCACTTTTATAACTTGTGTACATCGATCTTGAATTGGAGTTTCTGTAGCTTGCTTCTTCAAAGGTATCTGCTATTATTTATATGAAAGCTCCAACCGGAAATTAGAGTCATACTTCAGGTTCGTCGACTCACAAACGGGCTTTCAGAGGTGATATTTATAATATGTTTGGTGGGGTACCTTACACAGCAGAAGAGAAGATAAGCTCACCGTATTTCTAACTTCCATGACAACATTCTTTAGTAGGTGGGCATTACCTTCGGGGCGCCATTTGAAGCTTCATCTCAGTACGTATCATCAATTTTTATGCATGATGAGTTGAGTTGAAGGTCCCAATACTGCAGTGTCGTTGGTAGTAAGAACCACACAGAGAGGAGCGTTCCCTCGCAGGTTTTCGGCATCTGTTACGGTATTAAGCATTCATAGGGTATTTGAGGGCTTCCATGGATATGGTCCGGCTGGAAGCTAGAAGACTATTCTTTTGGTGTCTCTCTAATGCGTAAGGTGAACACTAGCACTGCCGAGTGAAATAAATTGGTACTTTTACGAGATTTTCTAGTAGATGCAATGATAGCAATGCTTTGAATAGCTCAACACATTATTGGATGAATACCAGTTTTTTTATGGGTTATATTCTCATGTAAAAGTTTGTGCATTGAATTAGATTATGGATTTGGTATTATTTTCATATCTGTTACACAACATATAAATTTATGTGCTGGCTTTATTCAAGCTATTTCAAGGAAGGTATCATGTAAGTAAACTTCCGATCCGATGACCATGGAAATCGAAGGCCTTTCTTTTCTAAATAATGGTACGTAAACCTCAAAATTGCAAGACAAATCAGATGATTCTCTCATAAGAACAAAATCAATCAAGACCTGGGAATTGTCCAGTTAATGAAGGCAGAGCAAATGTCTTCGATGCCCTAGAACATTGGTTGCAGTACATTCAAGTTTGTTAAAGAACACCTTGTAACAATTATTTTATAGCCAATTGCCCAAACACATACTGGGTATGGACAAATAATTATTTAGTTATCGAACCAAGAATCTTGCCTGTTGGCATAGGATTTGTATAATTCAGTTCCTGTATGTTTTATAAAAATTACATATAAGTTGTTGTTAGATAATTGTTTTATAAAAATAAGATAACACATCTATTGAATAAAAACTTAGATGTGAGACTGAGATTTTCTTTGCAGACACATTGGTGAAGTGACGGGCTAAGCTTTATACAGACCGGTTTTGGATAAAAATTTGCTAACACCACATTTTTATATGTAAAAATTAATATTTTAATTTAGTCATAATGGTTTATTTTATTCTGGAAAATTCTCAGTGAGTATAGAATAATAATTAAAATATCTTTCTATATAATCTATTAGAGAGAGAAGGAAACTTTTTTAAAAAGGTTCCGATTTGCTATTGCATTAAAAAGAGTCCCCGCTAACCAGCTAAGCTCGTGGACAAAGAGCCGGTGCGGCAGTTGTTTTTAAAATAATTTTTGTTTAAAAATATATTTAAATAATATATATCTTTTAAAATATATTTTAATATTAGTATATTAAAAAAATATAAAAAAATAATTGAAAGAAAAAATCATAAAAAAATTACTTTTAAAACTATGAAAATTGACATGTATTTGAGAAGATAGTGTCGGTCGGGTTGTTGATTGGCAAACAAAATGTCACCTGTTTCCTATATGTTCAGGACTTCGGAAACTCCTGATGGAATTGGAATCCCAAACACCATTCTTGGAAGTTTCTTTTCCCCGTTAAAGACTCCAAGGTCCCTTGACTGAAGCTTCCCAGCACGGTACCTTCCCATAAATGACAAATAAAATTCCTCAAACCAAGTTCGTCGAAAAAAGGAGGGAAAAAATTAAGAGCTCGAGGGCCCATTAGGCTTTTTGGGGGCCGTCTTCGGTCGACCTTTTACCTATAACATAAACCCTTCAAGTTTTAACTACAAGAAGACCATGGGCTGATAGCCCAATAAAACAAATTTTATCCAGAGCAGAGAAGAGCTACCTTCCGACGGACCTTAACCTTGCAAGAAAAAACAAGTCTCAACGGCCCAAGAAAGAAAGAGACTTGAATCATCACAGCATGATTCTTCACGATGTCTCGATTCTCTCCTGCTAAAATAGAATATTTATTATTACTATTATTTTTTTTTCCTTAGGCAGACCGCAACTCAAGCAGAACCTTCCCAGTTTCTCGAGCCACTGGCCTCACAATTCCACGCTTTTATTCCCTTTCCACATGACAAAATAGAACGTGAGAGAGAGAACCAACAAAGAAACCTCACGCAACTTGATCATTTATGTCGTCGCTTATTATTCCAGTTCTCCTTCGGTTTTCAACGAAAGAAATTTCTCATTCAACTCTTGACAAATTCAGAAGGCAAAATAACACCGTATGAAAGAATAAGAACCGATCATTTATAAAAGGGAACCCACCACCATCAACAATGATGCCTCCTCCACCACGCTCTTCCACAACATTATACAGCCAACAACAACAAGAAGCACAAGACGATTTTGTTGTTGAAGAGGAGGCTACGGAAGCCAACATGATGACAACGACAAAAACAAGAGCAAAAACACCCTTATCGGAGATTGTAGAGGCGTTTGAGGAGCTAGCAAAATCTCTGAATTCTCGGAGGATCAGAAATTCAGACAAAGGAGCTGGAGGAGAGCTTAGATTGGATGCGTTCTCTAAAACATGTTCTTTGGTCTCTGTTCTTTTCAGCTGCCTCGGTCTTGCCTTTCGATTCGCCGAGTCCGAGTACGTTGCCAAGGTTCTTCCATTCTCCTTCCTTTCTCTCCTAAAATCTTTTTTTTTCCTTTATTTTTTTTAAAATATTTACTTTTTCCTGACACTTGATGCATAAATTCAGGTTCATGATCTTGTGGAAGCATCGAAGGAGTATAACACGTTACATACTATACTCGATCTAGATGTTGCAAATGGCACAGTTAGAACATCGGGCAGTCATTCACGTAATTTACGTCGAGTCAGGCAGGGTCTTGACCTTATCAGGGCTTTGTTTGAACAGTTTCTGTCTACAAAGTACGTCCATCCCCTATCAATTTTTCTTTTCCCTTTCTTTTTTTTCTTTTCCACATCCATAGCATGTTTTTCTGGTAAAATGGATTAGTTATTTTGCGTTAATGCTTTATGCAATGGATTGAATCGCATGTCATGTGTCAGCAGTTTAGTAATATTTCCTAAGGCTCTGCGTTTGTGCATTCTAACATTTAGGTTGTTACTTTTATAGTGATTACTCTTTAAGAGAAGCAGCAACAACAGCTTATTCACAAGTTTGTGCACCATACCATACATGGGCTGTCAGGACAGCGGTTTATGCTGGCATGTATACCCTTCCAACTAGGGACCAACTTCTACTGAATCTCAATGAAACTGGTGAGTACATTTTATAATTAAGCAGCAGCAGCAGCTTAATTATCGTAAACCTTTGTATAGGCTAGGAACTATAAGGGATATGGTTGCGGTGATGGTTTAATTAGAAATATGAACCTTAAAGTTCCTTAAAATCTCTAGAATCTTAACATCGGGCAACATTTTCTTAAGGAAGGAAGGAATTTAATGGACTAAATTTCGTGAACTTCTGTCTGTTTGAAAACCATTGGGAATAGAGAATAAATAAAGCAAGCTGTAGTCATAATGTCTGTTTCCATGAATGAAGAGCAATGCATCCAATACAGGAAAGAGAAACAGGACAGTATCCAAATTTATATGTTATGCAACCCCTAAATTTTCTGTAAAATCTCATTTACTCGTAAAAGAGAGAGATTGGTTGTTTACTAAAAAAGCAGTTTCTCTTTCGACTAATTCAATCAACTTGGTTACCATTTATGACTATGTTGAATGCACATAAATTTGTATGGAGAACTGGAGAAGAGAGGAAGTACTTTTACTCTTCGGCTAGTCTCGCTAAATAGATCCCATGGACTCAAGAATTGTTGGCATCTTAGTTTTCAGTTCATCCTATATCTTCAAATGGACAGGTAAAATTTTTGAAAGCAATCAATCAAAAAAAAAAATTATACGCTACCGAGTTGGAGAAGTTTGCATCGCGGTGCCCTTTAATGCTAAATGGCATTGCTCTATTTTCTTCACAAATGAGCTTTTTCTTATTGTAGCTTCAATTGAAAACATGTTGCCATTGAGATCGGTTGAATTCAAATTTAGCCTCCTTTGGGAGATCTAACTTCTGTTGTAATTTTGATGCAGAACATTCAGCAGAGAAGAACATGAGAAGGTATATGAATGCCACACTTCCAGTCATCGAGTATATTGATAAGCTTTACATTTCCAGGAATATCCGCTTGGACTGGTAATTTTGACCTTTTACGGGAATGACACCTAATGCAAGGGTTTTCTGACTTGGCTGCATTCCTATGGCAGCTATTTTGAGTCAGTCGTTCTGACTTCCTCAGGCAGTTGCTAAGCATTCTCCGGTTGACCACAGCTGTAATCGATATCTATTTTTTAGTGGAGAAAGAACATCACATGATTTGTAAATAAATAGCTGTCTCGAAACAATAATTTTTTGTGCCGGGCAATGCGATGGCCAGTGCAACACAATCGTATTGTTGACGGAATGTCTGTTGGTTATTAATCACCAACAAAATCATATGATTATGTAATATCATAGTTAGCAATAGATCAAACACTACTTGAATCCTTCAGCAGTATGTCAGATTGTCTGGTGGCTTATCCTTGAACCACCATAAAATCGAGGGAAGGCTTTGTTAAGGATGTCAAGGACAGTCATAGGGAAGGCTTTGTCTTCGCTTACGTTGTCTGGTAAATCAGAAAAGCTCAATGCAAATGACCTCTTGACTGGGATTCAGAACGTAGCAAATGACTTCCTAAGCTTCTGTCGTATATCATGAAAACTTGAAATCCAAATTGCATGCATAGGCTACTTGTGGAACCACCCTCTGAATCACATTCAGGTTTTACCGTTTCTTTTTTCCAGTTGTTGTTGTGGGGGAAATGCTTAATTGTCTTGAGTATGCCTCATAACCAATCTAAAGGAACAAATTAACTCAAGATACCCACAGTTTATCAAAATTTATACCTCCAAAGATCGATGCAAATGCTACGTTTGTAGCAAAACATTACCCTGGCTTCTGTCAAAAACTTTCAACAACTAGCTTGTTATTTTCATCTTTAATATTATACTCAACAGTATTTGTAATGAAATGCGTAGAAAATCACGACACAAGGAAACTAAGGCACTGCTAAACCATCTTCCAGTGCCCAGTGTTCTGCTCAATAGACATGCCATCATCTCATCAAAGACCAAAGCAATGAAGCCAAAATCAACAGAGCATTCTTTCTATAAAAATTCATCACAGCATTTATAATGTCAGGCTCTCTGGGTTCTCTACAATCCTAGCAAAGGTCTGAAGGAAGGCAGCCAAGTCAGCGCCATAGACGATTCGGTGATCAGCTGTCACATTCACCTGAAGAGAACCAAATAATTTAGTTGGAGTATCCTACAGAATCATTTGCTAGGAAGGATATCTGAAAGGCACTTCCACTAAAAGCCATGGAGCTCTATTGTGTTTGATGTTTGACTTCATCAAACAACCAAATAGCAATTATTTCGATTTTCAAGAATATCAAGTAACATATAACCTACCAAGGGAAAGCAAAGGAACCTAACACATGACAATCTCATCAGAAATAAGATACAATAATCTATAACGGAGGATAATCTATGATGGAGGATAGGTGCCAGGGACCGTAAATAATCAAAGCAACATCAAAGCAGGGCTTTTGTTCCCCTCCAGAAAGCACCCGAGCCTTTGAGATTCACTTATGTGACTTTTCCCTTTATATTTCCCCCCTTAAAGAAGATCGATTGACTTGCAAGAACAAACAGCTATTTATGACAAGTATGATGTGAAGCTATTACCTTGATTACAAGATGATAGAAAGCAGACCTAGTAAAAGGCTTAGAACACCTTGCTTGCCTTCAAGTTAAAATTTAGTCGAAATATCATTTTCCAGTGACTATAGTTTCAACTAGCAACTGATGAGTTTTTTCAAGAACAGTATTCCAAGAAAAAGAAACATTATGATCTCTAATACGCTATTCATGTAAATTGCTTCCTATGCCTATAATTTCAAAATTAATTCTATATTGCATGCTCTGATGATATAGTCACAAAATAATTTCAAGGAGACAACAAGGCCAACCGTTTGAACATGTGACAACCATACAGGTATTACATAATCCCCAATGAAGATTGAAACTAAATAATTATGAAACAAGGGTCACTTAAAATCATTTAACTAACCCAATGCCCCTGCTCCTCTGTGCACAAACTCAGACAGACCCCATGGGAAAATAGATATGTCGACCACAAAAAAGAAGATTGAGAAATACATTTTTGTCATCCGTTTGTTTGTTTTCAGAAGAGAATGGAAATCGCACTCACCAGCATTTTATTTTTAACGCTGAAAAATCCATCTTTATCAGCCAACACGGTTGGATTTGATGCTCCAACAGCCATAATAGCCCCCTGAACATTGTTTCCAATTTTTTAGCATATCTCTAAAAAAATCAGGAGGGAGTTCCCCAACTAACAGAAATAAAAAGCCTATCCATCACCACTCACGTGGCCTGGAGGAAGGATGGCATCAAATCTGTCTACTCCAAACATTCCTAAATCGGATACAGTGAAAGTACCTGCGTACATACAGAGTTAGAATTATTGCTCCAAAAAGATTTTTAACCCGGGTTCAAGCCCTTGATAGGGTAAGGAGAGACACAGACACGGAGAAATAACTCATATAATAAAAACCTGAATTATACTCGCGGGGCTGAAGTTGTTTTGCTCGGGCCTTCTCCACCAACTCTTTCCATTTTTTAGATAACAAGTACAGATCCAACTAAAACAACAAAGCATTTTACCCGTTTGAACTGAAAATAGTCATGTGCCAGAAACCGATACAAAATCAATCATCCATGAATAAAAAGAAAATCATAATATCATATTATGCATTTAATAATCAGACTAACTTATCAGCGTCCTGAAGAAGAGGGGTTATTAACCCACCATTGATTGCGACTGCCACTGCAATGTTAATGTTACTGTTGAACGTAAAGCTCTTGCCATCTTTACAGCTTGCGTTGACAACTGGATGCTGAGCAAGTGCCATCGCTGCAGCTTTTGCAAACAATGCAGTCATTGTCACTCCCTTGGGTTTAACCTGAAAATAACCATAAACTCACACATTTCAAATCATCAATAGCCAAATTCAGTAAAGTTATCGTTCCAGACAAAATTAACAAAATCATTTTACCTTGTCGTGAAATGCATCAAGAGCATCAGTTACCACTGGATAACCAACCCTAAAAGCCGCAATGGAAAGACTCTCCACCATATTTTTTGAAACAGCCTTTGACATTAATCAAGTTGAAGGATACTGGAGCCAGGAAATTCTTAGGTATTTGACCATTCCTCCTTCAAATTATCTGGCAAATGCCCAGCATCCATTCAATGGCTCGAGAGGGGAAGGAAATGATAATGATACTAGTAGGATGAGGAATGATGCTAGTAGGATGAGGCCTAAGAAGATGCTTCGCCGATCAAAAGACAATGATGGTGTTTGCACTGGCAGCAAAGAATTGTTGACCTTAAGGTATATAAACATGCAAAGCTTTCATACTAGTAGGGTTGCTGGCAAAACTGGATATGCCTTTTTGTCCACAGCAGAGGTTATGCAAAATCCTCCTCAAAGTCTACATGTTAGTTCTGAAGTTGAAGTGCTATCTCAGGACAGTGGGATTAGAGGTTGTTGGTTCAGAGCTTCAATAATTAAGAAGCACAAAGATAAGGTGAAGGTGAGATATCAAGATATTAGCGATGCAGCTAATGAAGCCCAGAAATTAGAGTTATGCATTCTTTGTCTATGTTTGCAACATTTTTGCTTTCCATTATTGAAAATGAGGGGATTGGAAGAATTCATACACTTGTAGTTATGATCTTTTAAGTTCATATTTTTACAAGTCAAGTCCTACATATGGTTTTAAACTTTTATGTTGTAGGAATGGGTTTTGGTTTCTAGGGTCGCTGCTCCTGACCAATTGGCCATCCGGATTAGTGGAAGGACTGTTGTCCGGCCCACTCCCCAGTTCAATAAAGGCCAAATGGCATCAGTTGCTGATGTTGGGACTGCTGTAGATGCTTGGTGGAACGATGCTTGGTGGGAAGGCATTGTTGTCCATAAAGAAACTGAAGATAGAATTCATGTTTTTTTCCCAGGTTTGAAAATTCTTTCCTTGAAATTAAATTGTGAAACTGTGTTAAGTCCTGTGTCATAGCAATATTTTGTTGTAAACTTTGACTTTTCAACTTCAATGTCTTTACTTATTTTTATTTTTCAGGTGAAAGGAGGGAATCAGTTTTTTGCTGTTCTGACCTGAGACTGTCCCTAGAATGGTTGGGAAATAGGTGGAAACATATCAAGGAAAGGCCAGATATTCTGTCACACTTATCATCCTGCTTGGCAAGAAAGCAACTAACTTTCGTATCTGATGAGAGCAAATTGGCCCAAGTTGCCATTCCTGGTTCCAGGCATTCAGGAAAGGCCAACCCTGAATGTGGCGATTATCCTTCGGAAAGTAGACTTGATATGAGAAAAGAGTTGAAGGTGCTTCCAGATCTTTCGAAGGATAATTTGCTTGCCCAATTGAGGTGGAGCTCAGTAAAGAAGAGAAGACGTGGTAATGGGAGTTCTGGCCATAAGATGCATCACAATAATAATGGTGGTCTATGGTTATCAGAAGTTGTTGCATCCAATGCAGGTGAAAGATTTCTGATTCCAACTTCCTTGAAAGTTGATCACGAGAACTGCAAGTACATGGGCGATTCTCTGTTTACTTGTGCTGTTGTGCAGCCAACAAGCTTGGTTATGTCTAGATGATCGATTCTTTGTTATTAGGACATCTCAAGCAGATGTTATGTTTCAGTCTTTTGCAGAGTTATATGTCTAGATAATAGGGTTTTATGCTTATGATAGATTTCCAATGTTGATGACCTTGAAAGTGGATTAAGAGAGCTGCTATACATCTGGGGTTTTTCTCTGTTGAGAGCCTCTAAACAATCCTGGTTATAAATCTATAGGATAGGCTTCGTATTGTTGGGATGTAGAAGAGTTGACATCCATCTCTGGAAGTGGAACATATTTCCATGGTGCTTCCTTCTTGAGAAGAGATGGCATGCAAGCTCATCTTCACCGGAGCTTTGTATTTGTATCTAACAGTATCCGCTGGGACCGTGAATATCAGGCAGCAATTTTGAATGACCTTACAGGGTTATAACCCCTGCATGCAATTGTACCTTTCAAAGACTTGCATGATGATTTCTGCTTTTGATCTGTAATCTGTATATTATCTCTGGTAATAAAATTATCCCATTTCACCTTTTCTTCATGCTAAAGTTTTTTAGACTTTGATCAATTTCCAGTTTTATGCATGGTTCAAGTTGAATGGATTGCTTGTGCTGCCTCTTCAGAATTTGTAAGAGCACCAGTTCCCTTTCGCGTGATCATAGGCAATCTGTTGTTTAATGATATCCTCCGTATTAGGTTTGATCTCTCTGTTAATTTCATCATCAATACTTTTTGATGGGGCAACATCTGTTAAAGAGTGCAAGGCTGCAAGCTGTTAAGCCCAGAGGCGGTAAATTCTGGGCAATTGGAGTGTATTTGCTTGGTAGATCTATGGAAAACCACAAGCCACTTGCTTGATTTGGCCAATCCAGTTATTCAGCATCAAAGTTGCCGAACAATCGAATCAAGTCGGTAAAAACTTTCAGATGTTTAGCCGTTAAATGTTCGATTGTTTGGGTTAAGAACATAAACTTCAGTGGCTTTACAACCGGAGCAGTGACAGGCTCGAGCAGGAGACCCATCGAACCTTATATTAGGTCTCACTCTGTCTAAAAACTCAGCTTCTAATGGCTCGCTGCAGCTTGCCAAGTTCTTCATTGACACAACTCTTTAACTGAGCTTGATAAAAGATTATAGTACTAATGCAGGTGTTTGGTCTCATAAGCAAGCTACAAAGAATAATTCAAGAGGAGAAAGTTTAGAAACAGTGTTTTGTGTGGGCCTGCCTCAGTGAATGAAGCATCTTTGTCAACTAAGCCCTCAAGGCCCCCCTTTACTTCACTAGGCTTTGCCATCTGTTCCATCTTCATTCCTTGTTCTCCGACAATTGAAGCATCTTACAAGTCGAGCTCGCTCTATCAGTACAGCAGAAGCTGTTACTAGATCTTTTTAAGATCATTTTCTTTCACCATCTTTCTTTCTTTCTCGGTGCAATATGGGATTGAATTTGTTACCTTACTTTCCTATATGAGTATCTTTGCTGCACGGCCTCAGAAGGAGATGCCCGGAATTGGAGTCAAGAAGTCAAATAACATGCTATATTCTGGAACTAGCCTTGCCTCTGTTGAATCCTTAACGTTGCCTCTTGTTTGTAGTCTCTCTCTCTCTCTCCACTTTCATATGCTGATCTTATATTTTTTTACTTATTCTATTTACAATCAAACACTTATGCAAGTTCTTATGATTTGTGGTGGGTGGCTATTGAAGGTTCTGGAAATTGATCTTTCAGCAGATATTCGATGTGCAGAATGTCAAAGGAGACTGGCTGACATCATGTCAAGAACGAACGGTAAGTAAGATTTCTTGAAACTTGGCCATTGAGATGTTGAGCACCCAAAGAAATGTAACAAATTCTTAGGGATCTTCCTGCCTGCTACATAATTGCTTTGGATGTCCTTGCTTCTTTGGGAGCGCTTTCAAGGAATTTTCTTGGAGTTACAGCGATGGCTGAAATGTTCGGACATTGATATTGCTTTGTAAAAGTTGCTTCCGAATATATTGTAATCAGATAGATAATTGGGCCTCTCTAGCTGCAATGCATGAGTTCCATCCAATGTTCATTGACTTAAAATGTTCATAAAAGCTGGTACAAAATTGTCGAGGAATTAAAACATGAAACATCATCTTTTGAAAGGGCACAAAAAAATTTTCCTGCCACTGTCAAGAAATAAATATCTTTCTTGTTAATCCAGCACCTGTTGCTTTGTGAGGTGGAACATCAAACTCTGTTCATAATTTTGATACAGCAATGGTCAAATTATCAATTAAAACATACACTTTCACTTATCTTGTTACCACATTTAATTTTAGGTTTTTGATGACCGTGATTGTTGGAATATCCAACTAGGGTATCTTCCCTGCATATTTTTTGTCTCCTTTTGCAGTGATGGGTCCCTTCCCTGCATATTGTTTGTCTCCTTTTGCAGTGATGGGTCCCTATCCATTTGTGCTCCAATTTACTGGGTCATTTGCCCGTTGGAGTTTGCCATTTGCCCGTTGGAATACAATGACAATGTCTTCTTATTCTCTATAAGCACAATAGGCATCTTTACTTCACTCTTTAATTTTTTATGCAGAGACAGAATCTGTATTGATCAACGCATTGGAAAAGAAGGTAACTCTCACTTGTAGGTATCCTGGTATGATAGTATCCACAGGACAAGTCGCCGCTGTGTACAGAAATCCTCTAGGCAAAATGGCAACGATCAAGCGAATTTTTCGTTCTTACTCCCGTTGATGACATGTAAATGTTTCGACAGTGCACGCAATTCTGTCATCAAAAGATCGTGACCGCGTGAATTAGCCATGTATATAATTGCAATATTTAGTTGAGAAACTGAAATAGAATATCAGATACTTCGTACAAGCACGCTTGAAGCTGTAAGGGAAACAGATAGGAAAGGCAGATCATTTTGAAGAACATTAAAATTCTGAGTTTTCGTTAGATATGTGCAGAGCTTGATTCCCAATTTGAAGGAAAAGAGTACTTTTCTAGGAGAGAGTTAAACAATTAGTTAGTGCTTTTCTAGGAGGGAGTTGAACAATTAGTTAACGTGAATGTATAATCTTCTATTGTCACCTTCCCTATCTTCAGGGAAGTGAAGTCAGGGCAGGCTAACTTGAAGGTGGCTTAAATTTTGCGTAACATGAACCTTTGCAAACAAGAAAGAGATGCTTCGTATATTGTTTCATGGAGTCAAACGAAGCATGGGACGAGAGGGAAAGATACGATTCCTCTTGTACTTGTGAGGTAGATAAACAAAGCACAAAAGTAAAGTTAGGGATAACAAGCCAGGCGTGCCAAACAAAACCCCCTTTCTCAGCTCAGGTAGATTCAGATTCCAAAATGAACGCAAATAATTCCCAGCAGACAATCCAAAAGCCGAAATAACTGGTGGTCTTTTATTCTTCAAATTCTCAAAATCAAACATTCCTTGTTTTCTCTGGATGTTCCAAGCCATCAGATCAACCCATCATTGATTTCGTACCATGTCTTTTAGCAGCTACGTACCTGCAAAGGTAAATTGCAAACAGCGTCTTCAAAAGGATTCGTGTTCGTGTTTTCTTTTCCTTTTCAAACTGATTGAAAATTAAATAGGCCTCTTCTTTTGACGTATGATTGTAGACTTGCTGCATGGTGCTAAGAATCAACCTTGATTGTAATGCTTGTTGCAAAAAAGCTAGGAGGATCATTCTCAACATGAAAGGTAAAACAGTCATTTAATTTAGTAGTCATTGCATAACAAAATAACCTGTTCTTTTCTTTTTCCTTTATACATATTGAAGAGGTAGAGACACACATGATCGAAAAGCAGCAATGCAGGATTAGTGTGTGTGGAATATTTCGACCATCTGATGTGGCCATAAAGCTAAGGAAAAAGATGAACCGTAGAGTTGAAATATTGGAAATTCAGGAATTCGGCGGCGGCAATGAGCAGGAAGAACCGTCGTCAAACGTGGATTGCTAACATATGCTCCTACTCCTTGTGATGTTGCCATACAAAATTCCCCGTGCCATCATAATACGCATGACCAAACCACACGTCTTGACACTTGGCATCTGGAGTGTTATCATTAAAGCATAACCAGCGTAGATACTGCTGAAATAGAAAGGAAACTCAAAATTCAAGCATGGGTAGATTGAAGGAAAAAGGAGTATGTTTGTGTAGAGATGTAAAAATGTAATTCACACAATTTTTAGTATGTACTTAGAAAAAGCATGGGTAGCGGAAACTGCAAAACACTTCATTTGTATTTATTTAGTAAAAAACAGAAATTAATCGCCTTCTAGTTCATGTGGGACTGTGCTGCCTCCATTCAAATGGCATGTGTTGGGATTTACATTTTCATAGTGACGAGGTGGACTAGCCCCTGCAGACATGTAGGCTTCCCCTCAGAGCTTATTTGGATTGATCTTTAGTGGAAGTTGAGCTTCAAATGCTGATGATCCTGCAAGGCAAGTCCAGTTTAAAAGTTACGATTCTTCTTCGATAATTAAGTTAGTGACAAAAACGATAATGAACAGTCTGAAAAGGTTGCATACGCGTTGCAAAGTGTGCGCAGAAAAAGAGGAAGAAAAGGTTGGTAAAGATGAAATAGATTGAAATCCTTTATCTAGGGTTCATGGATGTATAAAGAGCCATGAACTTTACCAGCTTGTATGAAGCGTCGGTAAAATGTTCCATCTCCTTGCTCTCTACAGTTAGAAATCATCATTTGAAACGATAGTTAGCCCACGTAAATTGGTGGATCACTGTTTGAGATTAAAGACTGGGGTCGTGGAGATTTTTCACCTCATAAAATCAAATCTTGACTTCATTCAATGAATGCCACATGCTTCAGAAACGTGCATGTATTTAATTCATGTAAATCTTTCTTTATATGTGACGAGATTCCTTGGCCGGCTAGGACCTAACTGGGTCTCCGTCGCTTACCCGGAGCTGGAGGACATTTACCTAGCCAGAGTTTTTTTCTCCAGCAGCGTCAATTAAGATTCCCTGTCTACTGGATTTGGAAACGAGGTTAAAATTAGAAGAAGAAGAAAAATAAATTTTATTTTTATATATTTTTAGATGGTTTTAACTTGTTAATATTAAAAGTAATTTTTTTAAAATAAAAAATATTTTTAAAAATAATTATTATTATATTATCAAATATCCTTGTAATCAATTTCAGATGTCGAGATGCCAACTATAAACCATTTGATAACTAATTTTTAAAAATGGATCGAATTAATTTTTTTAATCTTAAAAAATGCAATTGTTTTAGAAAATCAAAACTTCAATACATATCAATTAAAATTCTTTTAAAGTACTTCTACAGGGAGATATTTTGATGATATAGTTTTTTAAAAACCCCTATTAAAACTAATCAATTTATGTCAATTATGATTAACATGTGAGATTTGTGATATAGTTTTTTTCAAAGCGTATTTGGTAATGCAATGTATATCGATTGAAATTTTATTAAAATTATTATTTTTATAATTTTTTATATTAATACATCAAAACTAATAGAAAAGCATGGAAACATCTGATGGTAGATTTTATTTTCAAAGTATTTTTATTTGGAAATATATTAAAATAATATTTTTTTATTTTTTAGATTTATTTTAAATATTAATATATCAAAAATATTTTGAAATATCAAAAAATTATTTTTACAACATAATAATTTAAAACTTATTTTTTTAATAAAAAACAAGTTGAGTTACGTTAGCAAGACCTATCACTTGTATTGAATTTCCTTCAGGTGGTCTGTCCTTAGGGTGTGTGGATCCCATTATGATACACGTGTACCCCTATCATGCCGTTTAGATAATAAAACTGATTTTTTTATGAAAAATATCACAACTGTTAAAAAGTAACAAAATAACATACTTGAAAATCTATCCGTGAAAAGAACACAGTTTGATAAAATATGCTGGTCTCCCACAGGTGACTTGAGATCTGCATGCCTCACACGAGCCGCCATATAATGTCTAATTTTTATTTTTTAATATAAATATTTGACTAGTTTTAATGTATTTTAATTAATTTTATAAATTTTTATTAATTCTGAAATTTATAAAATAATATTTAGAGAACAAATTTAGTAATTAAATTATACCTCTCAAAATTATCTAATATTTATTTGTTTATGACACAAGTAACGCTCGTACTAATAAATAAGAATGATGTAATGTGGAGAGGTATTTAAAAATATAATTATGATTGTTTTTTAAAAAATTAATGTTGATATTAGCCAATTAAAATTATCATAAAATATTAATAAATATTAATTTAAAAAATAAATAAATAATTCTATTTTTTTAAAAAAGCACTTACAAAGCCTCAAAACAAGGTGCTGGACAATACGCGGTAGCGGCTTCGAAGCTCATCTTTCTTTCATTTTCTTTTTTATCTTCCCTCTCCTGCTTGGGCTACTGTGTCAGCCCATTTATTTTCCTTTCTTGTTTACCGATAGATCTTTCTCCAATTCTTTCGGCTGTTAGATCTAATTACCAGCCTCCTCGTTGAATCTTTTTGCTTCTTCCTTGGCTGTGGGGTTTATCTAATATATATTTTTTGACCATTCAAAGATCTTCATTACTCTGGGAGGAGAATCACATTTGCAGAGTGCTTCTTGTTAAAATTGAATTGGACATGCATGGGAGACATGCCCCTCCTTCGAAGTGGATTAGACAAATGACACACGCTTGTCTTTACAAATTATACTATTTTCTAAAATAAATTCGGTTAAATTCTCTAGCCACTGTTCTATTTTTCAAAAACTCTAAAAAAATATTATCCTGCTGGGCACTTGGTATATATGGGTGGGAATTTATATAATATGCACGCTTGCTTTTATGTATGTGTTTTAAAAATTGTGTCACATAATGCTTTTTAAAATATATTTTTTATTTAAAAATACATTGAAATTATTTTTTTATTTTTTACATTAACACATCAAAACCATGAAAAAAATTAAAAAAAATTAATTTAATATTTTTTCATCCCAGATATATTTTTTAAAAACAATTCTAAACACACTCTCAAACACCATTGTAATTTACTAGACATATGCATATCACATTAAAAAAAAAAAACCTGTGTTTTCTGAAAAATCCAGTAATGCTTAATTGGTTATGCTCTAGCAATACTCTCCACAAATTGTCCATTCACATCTCACAGATTTTTGTAGATTGCTGTTTTGATTTCAATATTCTGGGCTATGAAATAATGCGAACTCGGTTTTACTCTCATAAAGAAAATCGGGATAGACGTAAAAAATCTTTTAGGTTAGTGTCGGTTTTACCTCCACATAAATTTTTGTACCAGTATTATCTCAGAAATAACTTTGATTTCTCAACTGGAACATCATGTTAGAATTTTATTAGTCAAAAATGTTATTTTTTTAATAAAATAAGGTTGTTTATTGCAAAAAAAATAATAATATTTGAATAGATCTACAACCAGATATGAATGGAAAAATTAATTGGAAATTTTGAAATTTAAGACACAGATTTAATACAAATTTTACTTGGATTCAAAATTAACACTACACAGTGTAGACATATAAACATAAAACACGTAAATAGATAAATAAATAAAAGACGATGACTACTTTGTTTCATTTATGTGCTAATTAAACTATTTTATCATAGTCGACGTCGTAGTTATTAACTGTAATAACAGTAAAGTTAAATCAGAAAAGTATTGTAATTTTTTTAATAAAATATTGTGATGTTTTTTTACATTATTTTTTTAATTTTTTGTTGTTTTTTTTTCAGAATTATATTTGTTGATTTTATTTTTTTATATTGATTTGGTTGAGAATTTAATTTTATAATTTTTTTAAAAATTATCTTTATTGATTTTTTTAATATTAAGATTGTTGAAAATTTAGTTTTATATTTTATTTACAAGTAAAACTAAATTATATAGGTTGCTATATTGTTTTCTCGTGTATTTGTTTTGTTGTTATTTTTTTTAGAATCATTTCTATCAATTTTATTAGAAAAAATACTTTAACTTTTATCACAAAACACTATGAAATGTAGAGTGCTACATTATTTCCTGACACAAGTTTTTTTTGTTATGGTTTTTTTAAAAATTATTATTTTTTATTTTATTCTTTTAGTATTACAATTACACGTAAAGCTAAATTATATAGGAGAAATACTATAGCTTTCATTACAAAAATATTGTTGATTGTTATAATATTTTTTCATGTGTTTTTTTTTATATAATTTTTTAAAATTGTTTGTCTTTACTATTTTTTTTTAATATTAAATTAATTTTAAAAAAACTTTATATATTTTTCTTTTTATTAACATGCATACTAAATAATATGAAAAAAATATTATTATTTTTGTCATAAAACATAATGAATTGCTAGATTTTACTATACTTAATCTCTAAATTTTTAATAGTTAATATAATTTTTTTTCTTGTAAAATACTAACTTTATTACACCTTTAATTTCTATTATTTATCTATCATTAGTATATAATTATAGCATCTTTAAATATATTTGCTACATAATTAGCATACAATCTAGTATATGAAAATAAGTTAAGTGGGTTAGTTGGAGCATGGGGACATGTGCTTATTTTGTTATTAGTGTAAGAATATTGAAGTACATGTATGTTATGTTGGGAATTAATTTTTTTTTAAAAAATAAATTTTATAAAAATAAATTATTTTTAATATTTGTTGGTGCAATGAAAAATAAATTAGAAAATACTTTTATGTGTTTGATTATGTTATAAAAAATAATTTATTTTTAAATTTATTAAAATAACGAAGAATTTGTTGGGAATTAATTTTTTTTAAAAAATAAATTTTATAAAAATAAATTATTTTTAATATTTGTTGGTGCAATGAAAAATAAATTAGAAAATACTTTTATGTGTTTGATTATGTTATAAAAAATAATTTATTTTTAAATTTATTAAAATAACGAAGAACAATTTTACAGATTAAAAAGTTAAATGATAATGAAATTAAAAAAAATATAATTTTATAAATTATCTCAAATAAAATAAATAATAATCAAAATAATAGAGATCAAATCTAACAAATAAAAAAACTATAAGATAAAAAAAATAAAATAATAATAATTATCATTTTATTAATTATTTCAAATAAAGTAAGTAATAGTTAAAATAATGAGGATCAAATTTGATAAATAAAAAATTTCAATTAAAAAGTAACAAGAAAAAAACAAATAACAACTATAAAAATGAGTACCAAAGTTAATATAAAAATCAAATTATAAGGGATAAAATTAAAAAATATTCAAAACAAAAT